ACACAGTGGCCGCGCAGGACATGGAGTTGGCGGCACTCAAGCAGAAGTGCAAGCGGTGGCGCGAGTCGGCCAATCTTAGCGTAAGTATCGCTCCATTTCAGTGACCAACCATTCAATGATAATGTCTCGCAATTGATTGTCACCCAAAACAGAACAGAGAACTCGTGAGCAATAAGTTTGTACTCCAAAGAGTCGAAGCCATGTACGAGTCGTCGGCCGCTGTGGTGGCGGACATTGTCGAAGACATCGCCCGGCGAGCGATTAATGGCGTCAATCGGCAGTTGCAGGACATGACCGAAGCCCAGACGGCGGCCGCAGCCGACAGAGTGCGACACATGTGGGCCCAGAGAGTAGTCATCGATGGAAAGGCCAACGATATGACCAGAGATCCCAATAAATGTATGATTTTTATGAATTGATTGTTGATTTTGTCATTAATTTTTACATCAATTGTTGATTTGTTGTGTTTTATGGGCCGACAGTTCAGTGCCCGGAGTGTCGGAAGGAATATAAGGGCCACATCTGTCTCGTCAAACACATCGCGCGAACGCATCCGCGGGTGACACCGATGGACACGACCGGCGCCACCACCGCCTCAGCCCCGGTCGCCGCCGTCTCAGCTCCGGTCGCAGCCAATGATATTGTCATCGAAGAGATCAGTCTCAGTGATGATGAGTGACTCGTATCCACTTTTGTAGTCGTATTGTAATCACTTTTTTTATCAACCGTTCAAACAGTATTTTTTATGCAGTATTATATGCGGTATTGTTTTATTATATTCGATGTAACATTTGAACAATCATTTAATTAATAGTGAAATAAAATATTTAATTACAAAAATCAATGTTTACAAACAATTGAATCAAACAATAAACACATGTCAACAAAACATGTGGTAATAAATGGTTATATTCAGTGCTGTTTATGGCGTTTGTGTTGATTCATAGCATCCAAAGTACGGAAACCTTTGCCACACTTATCACAGAAGTGGTCCGTCAGTCGACGCCCGGAGTGGACGGCCTGTCGGTGACACCCGAGAGCCTCAACGGACTTAAAACTTTTACCGCAATCGCAGTCATAGTCGGCGCCAATCGTCACGTGGTGTCGGAGCCGATGGCTATTGCGCTGAGCCTTTGTGTCAAATATTTGGTCGCAAAACCTGCACTCGTAGTGCTCGACAGCGGCCGATCGCCGCCGAACGGACACTCGACCACCCGATAGTCTATTAGACTTTATAGCGGCCATCAGTCGCCGGCGCCGGTCGACAGGTGTCTCATGACGTGCCCTCCGGTAGGACTCCAAGTCGGCCGCAGTTGTGAAGCAATGCCGGCATCGGTCGCACGGAAACGGCTGATGACTACCGATTTGGTGGACAGTTGTCCGGTGGACAGAGAGATCGCACTTCCATACGAACACTTGGCCGCAGCCGTCGATATCGCACGCGTGACACGAGTCCTCACGGATGCCATCGACGATCACCGCTGGCGGCCGACTATCGGCCGACTTCTCGGGTCCACTCTCTTCATCACTACTCGTATCGGAGATACTATTTGTGGCCAAAAAATAATCGCATAATTAATGTGTTGTTAATTAACTGTTATTTAATTACATAACAATACGACGGTTTGATTTACGGCCAGTAGTCGACGAGTGCTGATCCGTATCGGTGTGTTTGGGCTTTGATTTACGGCCAGTGGTCGGCACTGAACGGCCAGTGAGTGTACGGACCGGTTGTCCGCTATTATCGGTCCGCAAAACATCAATCACTTCGAGATCAGAGTCAGAATCGCTGGACATATAAAGTAAACAAAAAATCAATTCATGGTTGAAAACAACGGCTAATATACATGTCTATCGGGACGATGGCATCGGTTGTCCGCACCGGTCGGTCAGTGTTCGCCACAACGCC